ACAATTAAAGCCGTACCCTAGAATGTTAGCTGTTTTTTGAGGTTACCGTCCACTCACCACTAAATATTTTGCTAGTAAACTTTACTCTATTCTAAGCCAAAACTCTCTTGTACAGCAACACATATTTACTTGGTCTATATTCGAGAATGAGTGAGAGTATCTACCGTACCCTCGCCTAACGTGGTTCCCAGTCAACATCTCCCACGAGTGTGATATAAAGTTGGCGGTCAAAGGAGAGCTTTGCTCTTGATTTAGCAGGAGCGGATCCCTAAACACCTGACTTGTCCCCATTTGTCTCTATCTATTTGAATGCGTTAATTGCACGCGGGGGAGGGAACGCAAAAAGCGTGACCTGGCGCTCCCTAAGAAAACCGCGCTTCTCCAGTTAATATAAATAGGAGACTGAGAGACACTGGAGAGGAGTCAGACTAAAGACGGCATTTGACTGTACAAGTGCCTGACCCCTATGACATGCTGATCAGCCCAAACACTGCGGATACAAGAGCTGACCATGCCTGCTACAACGTTGGTAATCTGAATGTGTGCACGCGTAAGGTGTTGACAAGGCCCCAGTATGGTGACGGGTGTGTTCTCTGCTCTACAGGAGTATACACTGGGACCTACCGTGATCAACCCTTAGCCCTTTCACTCCCAGAGTGAATAATGGAGTTTTGCAAGGTGATTCTAACTTTTGGGTTTGTGGACATAATCCTACAATGTGACCATTCAATTGAAAGCTACTGAGCAGTACTTTCCCAGCGTACTGTTTATTATGCTGTACAAGGTGGTTTTAATTTTTAAGTCTGTGGATGATCTGTTTAAGTGGTAGACTAAGTGGTAACCATTCAAATGAAAGTTACTGAGCAGTACTTTATTGTGGTACTGTTTATTATGCTGTACAAGGAGGTTCTAATTCACGTTTGAGTCTATGGATGAAACCCTACAGTGTGACCATTCAAATGAACGCTACAGAGCAGTACTTTCCTGTGGTACTGTTTATTATGCTGTACAAGGCAGTTCTAATTAACTTTTAAGTCTGTGGACATAATCCTACAGTGTGACCATTCAAATGAAATCTCTTGGGCAGTGTTTGCACACGGCACTACTTATTCAGTATAATAATTCTAACTTTTAAGTCTGTGGACATAATCCTATGGTATGAGAAATTCATTTTATAAAGTGAGATTTGGAAATTTTGTTGATTTTCTTTTACTACCGTCGGCAGTAAACGGGTTCATGACTTACCTGCTTCCTGTTCGCCTTTTTCAACGTACTCATTGACGTGTTGAATGACGTAATCTGCAAATCTCAGATCAGCCGTGGACAGCGAAAGCTGTTCATTTAGTTCTAGATCATTAATTTCTACGGCGCCACTCTCAAGCTATTGGAAGGAACAAAAATTACGTTTACACATTGTCTGTTGTTTGTTACGTTTTAATTTTTAAGTAATTTCTTTTAAAGTGATTTTAATGAGATAAATGGCAGGTATGGTTTTGGCCAGGAAGTTCTAAGTGGGCGTTCAACTTAATTCTCGAACAAGAGAGAAAAACGCCAACCAAGACGTATTTTAAAAATTTTTTTCTTCCAGAACTGGGCGTCCACAGGACACCCCGGCGACCATTTGACTGAAACCTTGATGGTAAAAATTGTCTTTTTTGTCCCAAGCGAACATAACAAATTTCTCTTGGTTGCCTCAGGTTCTCGATCATTTTAATTGGAAAATTTATGTTAGCGTGTATGTCTGCGAACGTCTTTTCTTGTCCACGTCTATTGAGCTGGCAAGTTGCTTTTTGCCGCGAGGACGTTCGTAAATAATGCGTTCACATCACGCTCCGGGAAGGCTGTGGTTTGAGGGGCGCTAGTCGTGTATGAAAGTACGAATCTGCCAAGCTTCTGAAGTCAACACGACTTTCTCATAATATCAGTCGTCCTTAACGACGATAGCGTGGAGAGAGAATAGGGAACTTTAGCATCGACACTGACGACGGCAGCGAAACATCCAATTGGCGTTTTTTCACACTTTGTTGCGTTTATTCCAGTTCGCTGAAATTGTCAAATGTAGGCAAATTTCTCTAGAGTTTATTTCTTTAAATTATTATTTATTTCTTTAAATTTCTCCTTTAAATTTTAGAAAGAGGGGGAAAAATGCGTCTTTGCTTGTTTAACTACTACTTTTTTTGACGTTCTCATTGCCGTCGCCCTCGTCGTTGCTAAAGCTCCCTAATACAGGCAGCGCCGGGTGCCAAGCCCGGGAACTTTGATAGGCACGCGGGAAAACAAGGAGAACCACTAGCTGATGCTATGTATTGACCATGTAGGAGTGGGAACAAAGATAACGGGTGCCAAATGGAGAAAGAAAGGAAAGTAGCGACAAGGAGAGCTAATGTACTTCTGCTTTAGACCTGAGAAAATCGGTTATAGTAGAAGTTTTATTGGTTCAGTTGTCAAACATTTTTGAGATGTAATGTTAAAAAGATGTAAAAATATAGTGCGGTGATCTGCACTGCAAATGCCTCATTAAAATTACAATTAACTGTCCACCACTTCAGAAAGTTGAAAAACGTCTGGGTACGTTTTCCTCTGCAAGTGCAAAGCGGCAGATAAAACATGACTTTTCGTACTTACATCAACTAAAACTTCTGATAACCCCTTCTGTCTTCTGTACAAATAATTTGATGCTCCAACCAAAAAGCTGCGAACTTGGGGGCTTTTCAATAGTTCCATTTGTTGTAAAGATAAATATGGATGAAATATTGAGTTCTGAAAAAAAATATTGTTACAAAATTAGTTTCTCTCAGTGTTTGCTTAAGACTATATCAAATCGCATTGATGGAGCCTATAGTTTTACAGTGACTTCTCCTTGTAAAAGTTGGTTTTGATGATGTTTACTTGCCTGGCTTGTTCGAATGTTTCCCGTTTGGCTAAACAACGACTGTTATTGGAGGAGAATTTAAGGCTTAATTATATTACAAAACGTTTTTCTTCGTAAGTATTTTTACCACTTATACATCCTTAAATTTCATGCTTACGATGTACATTGGATGAACCAAAGTTAAATGGGCTATTACACGAGGATGTTGCTGTAAATGTTCGAGGGCGTATTCACATGACGTCACAGCAGCCATATTGGTGTTCTAAAACAATGAAACGGCGGCCATATTGGTGTTCCAAACCAGTCTCGTGCGAGTCGAACTCTTTTCTTATGTAAACGTTTTCTTTTGTTCCAATAAATTTGTATACATGTAGTTGCTGGCCACGTGAGTGAAAACTCTGTATGCAGTTATAACGCGGATATATAAAAAAATTGCATCAGGGAGCACTAACCATTATAATTTTTGATTATTTTTCCAGACTTCACTAAAACTTGAAAGAACTGTTTTTTTAAATAGACCTCTTTAAGTAGACCTCCGCATGTATGTTTTGTTTCTCAGTAGAGGTCCCAGGGGAACTTGGCCCTCTGTCTTCTCATAAATTATGCGTACATATGCAAGTGAATAAAACGAAATTTGCAAGAAACAGTTCTATAGAGTATTATCGCATGACCTGTATTGAGAAAACAAAACATACAGGCTAAAGAGGTCTATTCATGTTCATCCTTGCATTTCGTAGAAACAGAGGGCCGTCAGGAAACAGTTTCAATGCCTAAAGATAGTCTTAAATAACAAAACTGGGCCATTATTTTTGGAATTAAATTGATTCGCCAGACTTTCTTTGCTGTAGATATGTGTTCGCTTTTTTGCACCTGACCAGCGCAGAACGTCAAACAACAATATTCCTATCATTTTTTAACAAATTGACCGATACAAACTTTCCAGGATAAATTTGTTCAGTCACAATGTGTGAATCAAAAGCAAAGGATTATGCACGGTCAGGGAGCTTCCAACATAAACTGCAGCACCATGGCTTTAACCTTTGATGTTTGCTAGCTTTGCAAGACTCTTCTACTAACTACTAGACTGCGAGCAGTCTGTTATTTTTCTTTGCAAAGTTACTACACGCGAAACCTAAGGACGCGAACGGCGAAGCCGCTTGCCGCGAGAAACAAGGGCGTTAAAGCCCGAGAAGAAAAAATAAGATCTCGTCTCGTCTTGATCCCTATATAATAACATCGTGGTTTGCAATCGCGCTGGATGAGATCAAGAACTAGACGGATTTTAAGAGAAAAGGCGGACTGCAAATCCATCAAAAAACTGAAAAAGGTTCTTCAGTAAAAGATTCCCAGTTTCTATAGCACTGAGATTCTTTGTCATTCCCACAAAATACTAATTTCTAGAGCGATTACTATGACATTCCATAGTTAATTGAGTGGAATGGTTATGAAACCCGTCAGACTCCTTTGTTATATGTTTTTGTGGACCTGAAAGTGCACAACGTTCAAAAGAATTCCTATCATTTTGATTGTATTGACCAATGAAAACGTTGCATTAATTTATTCCATAACAATTTGCCAACAGAAAACAAAGGATTGTGCACTTTCAGGGTGCTTCCAACATAAACTGCAGTACTGTTGTTTTTATCATTGATGTTTGCCGCTTTTCATAACCAGTCTCCTCTAATAACTATGGACATTCTCAGAGATCACGGCTTTGTAGAAGACCAAACCTTTAACGCAAAGTGATTTTTCAGGTCTACTGCGCTATAGTCTTACTTTACCACAGAAAACTCTCGCAAAGCTTACAATTAAGACAACTGATAGAAACAGCAATAACTGGGAGATAATTCAAGGCGTTCTAGTTATGTTTTACAACAACCTAGCGCGGGAGAGTCTTTTAGCTCCCACCCCTCTCCCCCTAATTTGTCAAGCTGGCGCAAGATTTTCTAGTAAAACTTGAGCTTATCAACACAAAATTAAACCAAACCGCAGGCTCAGTGTGGAACGCGTGAAGAAACGGTAGCGTCCACGAAGAGGGCTGGCCAAGCCAAGAACGCCTTTATAGCGCGTGAGTATATTTGTAGAAGCGACTGCAGAAAAAAAAGGACGAATTTCCTGACGCTGACAAACCTGTGTGTTGTATGGTGGACAGCAAAGACATGAGATACATCTTAAATTGAGCTCGTATCCACTCATCGCTTCCATCCCATCCTGGTGAACAAAAGAAAAAACATGGATCACATTCTAACAATTCTAAAGGCTGAAAGGTTACTTTCTTGCGCGAATTCAGTCACCAGGTTTCCGTGTCATCTTTGCCCGCCTATCAAAAACACACAGCCAACACAACCCTATGACATGCTGGTCATCCCAAACACTGCGTATACAAGAGCTGACCATGCCTGCCACTACCTTAGTAATCTGGCTGTGTGCACGCGCAAGGTGTTGACAAGGCCCCAGTTTGGTGACGGGCATGTTCTCTGCTCTATAGGTTCTAGTATCTACTCAGACCTACCGTAATCAACCTTAGCCCTTTTACTCCCAGAGTGAATAATGGAGCTCTGCAAGGTGGTTCTAAATTTTGTGTCGTGGATAAAAATTGTGCGGTGTGACCATTCAAATGAAAGCTACTGAGCAGTACGTTCCTGTGGTACTCTTTTTTATGTTGTACAAGGTGGGTCTAACTTTTGAGTCTGGACAAAAATTGTGCGGTGTGACCATTCAAATGAAAGCTACTGAGCAGTATTTTCTTGTGGTACTGTTTATTATGCTGTACAAGGTGGATCTAACTTTTGAGTCTGTGGATGAAAATAATGTTTGAGTGGTAACTATTCAAATGAAAGCTACTGAGCAGTAATTTCTTGTGGTACTGATTATTAAGCTGTACAAGGTAGTTCTCACTTTTCAGTGTGAGAACATAATCCTACAGTGTGACCATTCAAATGAAATCTGTTGGACAGTATTTTCACATGGTACTACTTACTCAGTACATAGTTCTATCTTTTACGTCTGTGGACATAATCCTAAGGTATGAGAAATTCAAGCGAAACCTCTGCAGTACTTTCACATGGTACTATCTCTTGTTTAGCATTTTATAAAGTGAGATTTGGAAATTTTGTTGACCTTTTTTTACTTTGGCTACCGTCGGCAGTAAACGGGTTCATGACTTACCTGCTTCCTGTTCGCCTTTTTCAACGTAATCATTGACGTGTTGAATGACGTAATCTGCAAATCTCAGATCAGCCGTGGACAGCGAAAGCTGTTCGTTTAGTTCTGGATCATTAATTTCGACGGCGCCACTCTCAAGCTATTGGAAGGAGCAAAAATTACGTTTACACTTTGTCTGTCGTTTGTTACGTTTTAATTCTTAAGTTATTTCTTTTAAAGTGATTTTAATGAGATAAATGGCAGGTATGGTTTTGGCCAGTGAGTTCTAAGTAAGCGTTCAACTTAATTCTCGAACAAGAGAGAAAACCAAGACGCATTTTAAAAATTTTTTTCTTCCAGAACTGGGCGTCCACAGGACACCCCGGCGACCATTTGACTGAAACCTTGATGGTAAAAATTGTCTTTTTTGTCCCAAGCGAACATAACAAATTTCTCTTGGTTGCCTCAGGTTCTCGATCATTTTAATTGGAAAATTTATGTTAGCGTGTATGGCTGCGAACGTCTTTTCTTGTCCACGTCTATTGAGCTGGCAAGTTGCTTTTTGCCGCGAGGACGTTCGTAAATAATGCGTTCACATCACGCTCCGGGAAGGCTGTGGTTTGAGGGGCGCTAGTCGTGTATGAAAGTACGAATCTGCCAAGCTTCTGAAGTCAACACCACTTTCTCATAATATCAGTCGTCCTTAACGACGATAGCGTGGAGAGAGAATAGGGAACTTTAGCATCGACACTGACGACGGCAGCGAAACATCCAATTGGCGTTTTTTCACACTTTGTTGCGTTTATTCCAGTTCGCTGAAATTGTCAAATGTAGGCAAATTTCTCTAGAGTTTATTTCTTTAAATTATTATTTATTTCTTTAAATTTCTCCTTTAAATTTTAGAAAGAGGGGGAAAAATGCGTCTTTGCTTGTTTAACTACT